TAACTTTTAAAGATTGGCCGGGCGCTGTATCCAGGTAAAAAAATGAAGCCTTTTGCTTTGCAACGCTTTCAAGCGTTATGCTTCCTCAAGAGGACTAAACCTCATCTGCATGAAAACCGAATGGTTGTTTGCAAAAGAGATGGCCCAGATGCGAATTGCAAATCGGAGATACCAATATCAAGCAAGTGTAGAAATTTAAATATCTGGGAAGTGTTTTAACAGAGGACGGAAAGAGTGACACTGAGATCCGAAAGAGTATTGGGATAACGAAAGATGCCTTCCAAAAGCTAAGTAGAGGAATAAGAAATAGGAAGAATTCGCTAGAAACAAAGAAAAAAGTACTAAACTGTTATGTGGTATCTGTCCCCCTGTACGGCAATGTGTGCTGGACGATCTCATCAAAGATGAAGAGAAGACTTGAAGCAACGGAAATGTGGTTCTACAGAAAGATGCTGAAAATAACATGGCCCGAACATGTGAGCAACGGTGAACTTTTAGAGAAAATGGAAACGAAAAGAAATATTCTACTTAACTGTTTAACAAACTGCATATATGAATAAATATTATTGCATGCATGCATTTCTTCATATTTATATGAATATTTTGTGACAAAATGTGTATGTAGCAAAAACGTATGTGTAAATTTTTTTCATGTCTTGCGGCTCTCAAATGTCTGAACTTTATCGTATGGGACTGTTACATTAAAAAAATTGAACTAACTTGTTATATAGGAATCAATGGGGCACCTCGATGTGGTGTAATGGTTAGCAAGCTTGTCTCGCTAGAACAATTACAGCTGAGTAGTGAGTTTGATTCTCACTGAGTGCTCCCTAATTTCGGCCTTGTTCCACATCTAAGCTATGCTTGGAAAATCACTATATAGGAACAAATGAATATCAGTTGAACAAATCCATTTCTTTGTGTAGTAAAAGACTTCCAAGTGTCGGAGACAAAAAACTAATTATTTTGTATCCTACATCTGAGTTAGGTATCACTCTTTAGTGTTGAAGGAAGGAATGGTGGACGTCATATATGTTTACTTTGTGATTACTGAAACCAATAGTTTAAAAAACTACATATATAACTAAATATTATTGCATTTCTTAATATTTATATAAAAAAGTTTGTAACAAAAACGTATGTGTAAATTTTGTTCATGTCTTGCGGCACTCAAATATCTGACCTTTACATTAAACAAATTGGACCACCCCTGTTATATAGAAACCAATGAAGATGAGAAGTCAGTTGATTATTATTGTTGTTGTTGTTTTGCCATTTCTTTGTGTAGTACAAGTCTTGATCAGACACTTCAAGAAACAATTCTTTTATATCAGAAGATGCAAACAGATGAGGTACCATGCAATCGGGGAGTAAAAACAAAGAATGTACTTGTGGTCATTTCATGGAGATAAATATACGCAAGATGAGAGAAGGACCCATGAGTAGGAATTTTGGCAATTCATATATTTAAGGGCTGCCAGGAATTGAATCCACATATTTGCTTTCACATTTTCATATTCTTCCAACATAGGTATATACATTTTGTAACAAAATGTCAGTGTAACAAAAACGTATGTGTAAATTCTGTTCGTGTCTTGCGGCTCTCAAATATCTGAACTTTATCGTATGTGGCGCTTAAGTAAATTTGGCCACCCCTGCCGTAAAGGATGATTAATATTTCATAGCCGCCTTGTTCGCTTTTCTTTGGTTCTGATCTAATAATCATGGCAGTACACAATATAAAAGTTTCTTTCTACGATTTTCATTAAAAATATAATGCAAACTACCACATAAATAGGGATTTTTTTCAGTACGCCGACATCGCTACCAAGTGTGACACGAGGTCAGTATAAAATGGTTTTAATGGCAGTACCAGGGAAATTTACTCAAGTACTTTGTCTTTCAGGGACGCCTCAGGTGACAAATAATGACACCAGCTCCCTCCTGAAAGAGATGTACTGCCTGGGATCGGATACTCCCACCCGGGACTTGAGCTTTACATCATTTTGAAACTATTCTAGTTGAAACCAGAGAATTATACTTCACTTCAGGACTTTAGACAATACTTTTTGCCTTAATTTCTGGGATAATGAGTTAAAAAAGGGATAGCAGGCCTTCAGCAGTAGTAGAAAAAAGATTCTGTTAATGCAATCAAACGTAATAGTAGAAGCAGCAGCACGCATCAGCAGGCAGATTAGGTTTAAGGATCAAAGTTGTATACTCAGGATTGTCCCTCGTTGGCCTATCTTTTAATAAAATAGTGAATGGTTTGTGAATTTGGTGACATAGCAATTGTGAGTTCAATCCCTGACCCGAGGAGTGCAGACCTGTACTGAATGGAAATTGGAGGAACAGTACTTTAAAAAAAGTCTTTTGTATATTCCTGGTAAGACCGTTCCTGGAGAATGTGTTGACTGAGTCGCAGTCGGGCAGAGTCTCTGGTTGAATCTCTTGATTCCTCCTCTCTTCCCGGTACCAACCATATTTATATGGTCGGTACTCCACTATGCAAATTAGGTGGATCCTACCACAACAATTACTCGGATCAATAAACACCTGATGAAGTCCAGAGGGCATAACGTCCGAAGCGTGATACTAAAGAGAAGACATTTGTTCAAATGTAAATTGATTTGCTTGTATTGAAAGGATTCCTTTACATATAACTCTCTTCCTTACTTGACGACATTGTGTCTTCCATTTTACGCTTTCGGCAAAATGGCTCCTGAAATTCACTCTTCCTTTTCACTCAATTCAGCTAAAACTTTTGAATCTCGCATGTAAAAACTCGACTAAACTATAATGGAAACAAAACAAAAAAGCCATTCCATTCCCAAATCTATCAATAGTTTTGAAGGCACCCGCTGTATGAATTTTACCAAAGTATTCACAAAGATTAAGGACAATCTCGTCGATGACTTATTGTTGCTGCCATTATCAAAATTTTCCATGCACACTATTCTCTTTATCATCAGTATCAAGTTTTCGTGCTTTTTCTTCCTCTTGCATTCTCTTGTTATTACACTGGTTTACAAATAATTCTTTGAAATGGTGCAAGGGATATTGTACATGACCGGGTGGGGGTGAAGATGAAAAGAAAACACGTGCGTTTAAATTTCCTGCTAGAAGAAGGTCCAGCAACAAGAAAATGTCACTTAAAAGTCCAATTGAAGATAAAGAAGACAAACAAGGAAGACCGAGATATATATATATATATATATATATATATATATAAATATATGGAACGGTGAAGTGATGAGAACGGCTTGGATTGAGGAATCAGAGCCGATTTCGAATTCCAGTCGAATCCATTACTTACGTGCTAATACCCTTGGGAAATGTGTGAATCCTCTTCTCCCTCCAGCTATGGGTAAATAGCAGGACAGACTGGGTTCTATAGCCTTGGATGGCAACTGGTCTAGGAGAAGGGCAACGCTGAATTCAAAACCTGCGGAGGGTCGTTTGGGGACCTTGTGGCACGTAGTGCACCAGGTCTCTATAATCAGCCCTTCAAAAAGTGTGGATGATCCTGACGAAACCTTCACCACTATAATCAAATCTCATGTGATGTCGTAGGGCTGTCATTTTCCTAGGAACTGATCTGCTTGATCCTCATACGTCGAATTCGACGGGAGAGTCGAGTATAATAATAAAAAGTTAATGGCCAATGTTGAATTAGACCAGGAAACAGTAGAATTTAAAAAGTGCTCAATCTCTATCTATAAAGTGTGTGTGTGTGTGTAACGAATGCACGGCTGCAATTTTCGACGGATTTGCACCAAAATTTAGATGCACATGCTCCAAGTTAGTGGAAAGGCCAAGACCGACTTTGCATTTCCCAACTCCCATCGATAGTGGAAATAATCGATTTTTTCATGCTTCTACGACAGTTTTCATGTAGTTTGCGGCCATTTTGTACTGGCCAGAGTGAGAGCCTATAGCTGGCTGCCACGAATAGGCAGGAAGATTCTATTGGCCAGCGTGAGAGCCAACAGCTGACTGACACGAATGTTAACTAGCATGCTAGCATTAAAAAAAATCGATAGCTGCATTCGTCACAAGTAGGGAAAAATTTAAATCTGCATGGCACTTTACTCCAATTGGCTCAGTCGCTTTCTTAAACTAAACGTTGATTCTGATTCCTCAGAACTGAGTTGGGTGTGAAAAAGTATTTGTTGTTAACATTCTTTTTTCATTCGGTTTTTCCAGTTACGAGTCCTTTTTTCATTTTGTTTAGTTCTTTTTTCGTAATAGATTTAATGTTTAGTATAGAGCTTAAAAAAATTCGCAGTGTGAGATAGGCAAGAAGTAAGGCATGTAGCAACATCAGCACGGCAAAGGGAACTACTCTAAATGCAAGGAAGGGCAAAAATGTTTTAAGACAAGTGATAGCGATTGCTGTATGAGTCGTACGATTTTTGAATAAAGCACGGGCAACGCTGCTAGTACACACATAAAAATTTAACATGTAGAGCTTTTAAGTATTTTCCGAAATCGCGTGAAGTTATCTGAAGATTGAAACCGAGGTAGCGGAATCGTCTGATGTCATATATATATATATATCCTTGGAATTGAGGTCTGATGAACAAGGGAAAAAGAAACTCTCTGGTGAAATAAATTATAACAATGAAACCTTAAAGTGGTCTGTTTTTCTTTTAAATTAAACTATATATCCAGGTAAGATAAAACCGAATAGATTACTATTCCAACGTTCGTAATATTTAATTTAAGAGGGCTCAATACAAAGTAAAGCAATGTTATCGCTAGTAATTTACAATCTTCTGATGAGATACATTGGTACACATCGAAACAAGACTGCAGTTGTGTAGCGATTTTGACATGTTTTCGGTGTAATATCTTAAAATTATATCTGTTTGTGTGTAAATGTGGTCGATATTACGAAAAGTATTGAATATTAATAATTTAGCTGAAACTTTCAAATTGAAAGTAAGTCTTTACTCCATTTTTATCAAATGTTCTTTTTATTTCTTTTCGTTCCTCAGGACGACGTTTACTCCATTTCAATTGGACGAGATGGAAAAGGCCTTTCAAAGGGCTCCTTATCCCGATGTCTTTGCCAGAGAAGAACTAGCCATTCGTATTGGCTTAAGTGAATCACGTGTTCAGGTCAGTCGGTTGACGGATTTTTAAACCTTCACCTTCGAAAGGTGAAAAAAAATTCCTATATTAAATAGGAAAACTAGTTATTCTTTTAATACATTTGAAATGAAGAGAAAAAAAATTTTTTTACAAATGTCTGTCTTCAAATTTTTTTTTTTTTTTCAATATTCACAAACCGTCAGATCATAAAAATCAAAAATATATCTAAAAAAAAATACCTTTTTATAATTATAACCGGAATCAATAGAAGTTAGGATTGTTTGATATTGTTTTGTTTTTGCTTTTTTTGTTTATTTTTTATTTGTTTTGGTTCGTATTTTTTTTTTTTTCACTCTGCACTACCTACTCGTGGGTATCGAAGTTATTGAATGTGATATGGTTTCTTTCTATGAATACCTGTCAAAGCGTATTTTGACTTAAAGAAACACGAAAATATATATATATATATATATATATATATATATATATATATATATATATACATAATGTGGAGTAATGGATAGATCCTTGGATTGAGGAATCGGAGAGCCTAGTTCTAATTCCAGTCGAATCCATTACATTCACTTACGTGCTAATACCCTTCAGAAAGGTGTGAATCCTCTTCTCCCTCCAGCTAGACAAACTAGGTTTTATAGCCTTGGATGGCAACTCGTCTAGGAGAAGGACAACGCTGAATTCAAAACCTGCGGAGGGTCGTTTGGGGACTCTGTGACACATAGTGCGCCAACTCTCTGTATTCGGCCCATGAAAAAGTGTGGATGGTCCTGCACGAAACCTTCAACACTATAATCAAATTTCATGTGCTGGCGTCGGGCTGTCGGTTTCCTTGGAACTGATCTGCTTGACCCTCATACGTCGAATTCGACGGGAGAGTCGAGTATATATATATATATATATATATATATATATGTGTGTGTGGAAATCGCAAGGCATAAGTACATGCAGATATTTACTAAACAGGACACAGTGACCTGTACAAGTGGGAAGATTCTTGCGCTAATTCCCAGGTGTAGATGATTTCCCTGCCTAGGAAATCAGCGTTTCAAACACTGGCCGTTTGTCATGGATCAATCATTACAAATATTCTCAGTAGTAAATGTGTATAACTAATATTCATATTTATATATATATATATATATATATATATATATATATATATAAAAGTGAACATAGAAGTCAACACTTAGTTCACTTGTTCACTTTTATATTTACACACGCTCTATCTCTGATATTGAGCACTTTATCCCATAAATATAGCACACCTTAAGACTATATTTCTTTATATATTCTTGTGTTCGGACATGTGTTTTCTTTTCTGGACACTGTGTGTGTTGAAACTGAACAAATCTCCTGTAATTTCGAGCGCTTTCGGCGATACTTCTAGCCATTATCAAGGATGATTTTATTTGTTATTTTTCAACCGGATGTCTGGATTGTCTGTACGTACATACATCCAGAGTAAAAGTCAAATCATCTTTGATAATGGCCGAAAGCGCCCCTGAATTACAGAAGATTGGAACAGTTTCTACACACTCTGTAAGAAAAATTAAATAAAAAAGCTTAATCGAACTGCCTTGTCCTTCCTCTTTGATGAAATATATACACACACCTTTTATCAAAAGGAATACTTATCTCATTTAATACATGACTTAATCTCAAACTATAATGTATAAATAATAATTACATTATAAAAAATATATCATTTATTCACTTCTGTTAATCAGATATAAAATTACATCACTTAGCGTCTTCCATAATTTACCTTGACTTTCATTTAGGCAAATGTATATTTATGAGCGTTCTTAAATTTAAAAATTTTGTAAAACTGACAATTTCACTTTTGTTTATAAAAGCATGTCACAAAATAAAATGCTTATAAATAAAATGCTTCCCTGACGATCCGCTTAGGTGAAACCTTGGTAGGTTTGTCTGGCTTTCTAGGTTTAACTAGGTCTGCTCTACTTACCGTATTGAGCACTTTTACTTATTTTGCTTACTCGTATCGGGGTTTTTTCTTTGGACTTTCATGCTAGACGATTATTTTCGGCTAACGTACATGTTCTTTGTTCTTTCTCTTTTTTTTATACCTTTTTTCCTTTTGGTATTGGTTTGATTATTCGCAAATCAAAACACCGAAGGTTTTCCGGACGAGTATAACTTCTTATCCTTATAAGTTTATTAATACTAATAATAAATTATATATAAATCCAGTTTATTTTTACCAGTTTATTTTCCATATGCAAATCTTGCCAGTTGTCTATAAATATTGACATTGTAGCGGTTAATTTTTAATTCGTGCCTGACGATTGTGATGTGCATGAAACTGTTACCTGCAACGGTGTGGAACAAATGTATATTTATTCTTAGTATATAAAATGTCTTTCTGTACGTTTTTCTTTTTAGGTCTGGTTCCAAAACAGACGAGCTAAATGGCGGAAGAGGGAGACACCAAGAAAAAATATTCTCTATCCAACAGGTAATCTACAATTAAACTCTTGTAAAATCGGATTGCATGTAAAATTCAAGCTTCCTCTTTTGTCAAAAAAAAATTTGTAATATTTCTTAAATTGCATGAAAATGTTGATATTGATTTTCAAGAATTATTCCAAATTATATACATTTTCCTATCAATATTCTTTAGGTTTTCTGACAGCTTACAATAACGTTAATGTTTAAACCAGTTCGGACATTCTTAAAAATGGAGATTTCTCAATAATAAGAACCATATACTACTTCTATCTCATGGCCTCTGTGTGTGTGTGTGTGTGTGCGCGCATATATAATATATATATATATATATATATATATATATATATATACATACACACATACTAGACCCTAACTGTATTTACTATAGTGGAAGATTTTGTCCTTTTCGGAGTCGTTGGTCTTTTCTTGTTTATTTGACCTGATCACCCGTTACATCAGCCAACGACCCCAAGCTTGCCTAACGACCGGAAGAATAATTTCAGCAGGAATGGGAAATACTTGGTAGGTTTCAGATGAGACCAAGGGAGAGAGAGAAAGAGAGAGAGAACAAAATAGAAAACGACGGAGAAGAGTCTGCCAATTTCTCTTTGCGTTTCAAGTTAGGAGTGTATAATGTATCAGCGAAGAAACTAAAATGTCCGAACCGAATTCCATTTCCGGCCGAGGTTACATTTTGAAAACTCAGCCCTTGTGACATTTTGGATTCATATGAAAGCTCGGATAAGTTGAGTTACTTATAAGAAAGTCAATTCAAAATTTAATAGAACTGGGCTTTCAAAATGAGATTCTGCTTGAAGCTCAAAATGGCAGCCCTGGATCTATCCTGACAAAGAGAATGAAAGATACGAAGGGATGATGAAAAATTCGGTAGTATGACTGACAAAACTCACCAGATTTTATGGGATACAGCGTACAAGGTTAAAGGGAGATAATCATGGATTCAAAGTCAGAACATTATCATTGATAACTTTCTCCTCCAATTTGCAGACCCTAGTTGCTATATTCTTAATATTTGATATAATGCAAAAATATCACAATAATAAAATCAGTCAATAATTAATTATGACTATTTATACTGGGACTCATGCATACAATTACAAATAATCCATAATAATTTAAATTTTGAAATTATTCATTTTGGGCATATCAATTTTTTTAGACTGTTTCTAAATCTTTGATTATTTATCAATCATTCCGCCTCACCGTCTATCCTCTTCCGCCGTTTGGGAACCACTGATTTATACAATGAGTGCGTGGTCCAGTGGCTTTTCGATTATGTAGACCTGGGTTCGAATCTCACCATGGTAGATTTGTCAAGATGATAACTGTTATTGTGCGTGCGGGATGTTTGGAAAATCATACCACTTGTTGACCCAAGCCTTGTGAGTGAAATTTGGTGGACATGATCGTTCGTCAATGGTTGTGCTAGCGCGAAGTCACAAGTCATCGTGACCGAGGGTTTGAGTGTACTGGCCTTTTTTCAAACTGTGGGTCATTATGCAGCCTCTCCCAAAAACTAACTACGATCCACTCAGTATAGTTCTTGAATAAACCATAGGTTGATTCTGTGGGTGTTGAACAAACAGAAATGTACCTGAGTGGGCGTCTGCAACAGGGATTGAATATCAGTCTTAGCAGATAGCTATTATATAATTCTGTTAATTGTAAAAACACACACACACACACATATATATATATATATATATATATATATATATATATATATATATATACACACTATAATACAGAGAAAGAACAGTAAGCTATATAACCCGGTGTTCTTATTAATATTTTTACAAAACAGTGCTCAATGCAAATTTACAGAGCATCCTTGTCAAAATTATTGGATTTCCCCGTATCCTTGGAAACAAATATTATGAATGTATGTGCTTATAAAACTCAGTAAATTTAAAAATTTATTCCAAAATTTGCTTGAAAATGAAACAGGACGAGGGACTTTAATTTAATTCTATAATTGGATTTGAGTTTTGTTAGTTTCTGTTTTTGAAACATGGTAATTCCTGTATAGCGATGGAACCGTATTTTTAAATTAGTAAATTTATAATATATATTCATATTCGAAGAAGTTTATGGCATCTTGTCATGTGCTTTTTTTTTTCTTTTGGATTTTCAAGTCATAAATAATTTGGAATTGGGTGAAGTTTACCCAGATTGACACACCTAAAGAAGGTCAAAGGGTGCAACGGCCGAAACGTTTCAATAATAGCACGACTACATAACATAATTTAAATAATCAACTTTTGTCTTCTGAGTTGCCCCTAATTTTGATTTCGCTGTTCTACCCAATTGAGAATATTCCGATTATTGTCTTTTATTTTATTTTTTTATAGTTCCCGTCCAGAATATCCCCCACTCAGCGATGCACCCAGGGGCGGCACCAACCATATCCGTCGCGACGATTGATCGATGGTCAGCGAATGGATTCTATGGCGACGGTTCCTTAATGACAAACACCGAATCACTACAAACGACATCAGGACTTCCGTTCGCCATTACTCGGAACAATGGCGACCCAGTAAACACCAGATCAGACTGTAACAGCTCAAGCAAAGGGACCATAAACGTAAGCGCAGGTAACACTGGTAATGTTCCGGGCGGTAATAGCATCAAAGGTTCGATTCTAACCAGTGGTAATACTGCGCCTCCACTACAACCCCATCCACATCACCATCCACATCACCATCCGGTAATGTTTTCCGGCATACCTTGCACAAATGCGTACCAGACAGCGGCCCCAACTGCTAGTCCTAACTACGCTGCTATTATGCCTCAAACGTACCCATTTTTCTCTCCTTCCTATGCAGCACCGTTCATTGGCGGTCTTCCTGTGACATTTGATCCTGCATCAGTGGCACTTGGAGGTCGGCCTTACATAATGGCTGCTCGCGGGTTAGTGAATGTGCCTAGTTTTAGTGCTGGACTTCCAGATGAGAGACTTTTGACTGAAAGAAGCAGAAATCATGATCAAAATACTGTCAGTGCCTAGTTCGTATTCCAATAACTGAATTTTTCATAGTTCTAATATTGATTTTGAAATAAGCGATGTAATTCATTATGACATATCTATGTACCTTGTGAAAAAGAAAAACATCGACTGCAGAAACATTTGAAAAATCATGATTGGGAATTCGAATATTTGAACACATAAATAACTTGCATTGAAGCAGTACTAGAAAAGTGCTCAGTTATCGGAATTCTGCCCCTCTCTACCCAACCCCAAATTATATACGCACTCTATCAGATATTTTACTTACATTTTTTTATTAAATGAAATATATACAAAGATATGCATAATACTTATCAACAACTAAAATATCACGCACAAACAGGTGGCACCAACATGTACTGAACTCTCTTAGTCATTCTCCCCATCTTAATTTCTAAGATAATAAAAGAAAATCTCTAACAAAACAAGCCTGAGAGGAACTTGGAGCAATTGCGGGTTTTCGTAGTGTCACTGTGCGACAAAAAACGAAAATAAACAAATGTAAAATAAATGCAAATGATGAAAGTTACTTTTCATTTAATTTAATAAAAATAGGTGGTAACAGACACAAAAGTAAAGTCTAGGGCGATTTTGATTTATATATAGGCATGACCTGACGATTGCATTTAGCATGAAACAGACTGTCGCCTCTAAGTGTTGACTTCTATGTTCACTTTTATATTTACACACGCTCTATCTTTGATATTGAGCACTTTATCCCATAAATATAGCACATCTTAAGACTATATTACTTCATATATATATATATATATATGACAATAGGAAAACTGTAATAGCTGCCGACGCGTTTCAATATAGCGTCGACAACTATCACAGTTTTCCTATTGTCATTTATGTTTATAAATGTTGTCTTTTCTACAGGTTAACTCTGAGAAATTTTCATATATATATATATATATATATATATGGCTATATTACCAGGAGAGCAGGATTTAAAATACATTTTAACCGAAAAGAAATGTATAAATATCTATAACGCGAAAAGACAATAGGAAAACTGTATTATTTTTATTAGAAATATTGATTATTGCTGTGCTTCCCAAGATAAACACACACAACGGCTATATCAAAAATCAAAAGAAAATGGTTGAATCCATCAACACAACAATAAAAACAATATTTCTACACGTGAAAGTACTTGACGCAATTTTCAGTTGGCAATATGAATACAATACCGTTTTCTAAATTCTTCTAGTTGCTAAGGACATTTTGTTTGTTGTTAATAGTTACTTTGTTATCAATAAATTCATTTAGTTTTTAGCTTGAAAAAGTCCACATTGAACGAAACGAGTCGGCTAATAATACTTTCCTATTGTCTTTTACCTTTATACATATTGTCTTTTTCTACAGGTTAACTCTGAGAGATTCTTCATAAATATCTGATTTTTTTTTATATATATTGGTCTAATGAAGACAAAACAAAAGGGAGAGACTTTTTTTTTTTTTTTTTTTTTTTTTTTTTTTTTTTTAAAGCATATCACCCCAAGCAAGGCGGGGCTGCCACTATCACGTAAGAGGTACAAAGAGTGAGAACAAGAGTAAAGAGGAGTGTTTGAGGAAAGGATAAAGAGAAGGACGCGGATCAAGATCAAGGCATCAAAAGATGTCGATTGACATTATATTTGAATATTTGAAGATTATAGTTATCAGACAAGAAAGGAGTTCTACAGACGGGAAGTGCGAGACCTGAAGCTATTGGAGTAGAAGAGACGGTTACATTTAACCGTTTCAACAGTGAAAGGGTGAGAGCGAGATGCCAACCTAGTAGCACGCTTAAATTAAATTCATGCAGTTTGGGAACCAATGAAAGTAGCTCTTCAGAGCAGTTACCATGAAAATACTTGCAGAAAAGACAGAGGGAATACATAGAGAAGATATATGATAAAATGTTTGCCGGTGAATATACGTCCAAATTATTCTCCATTACCAGGACCCGAAAACACGACCTCTCTACCGAGATTTTCTTTATCGTATAGCCCTTCTAGGCACATATTTTTGAAGAGAAAAGGTTTCCTACATGTATGTATGTATGGAGATGTATCCAAGTCGAGGTGAGGAGAGAGAAAAGAGGAGATGTCTAACCAAGATGAAGCATGGTAATTAGTACTAAATAAGTGAGGAGGTATTTTAGAAGAATATAGTTTCTATGGTTTTGTTCCTAATCAAGTGACCGGTGGTTAAGTTTGTTCTACTTTCCATGAAGATAGACTGGCACTACCAGATATCTGTCCTGGTTAATATGGGCAAAAGGGTCAGACATTCATAAGAGTAGGAAGCGTGGTTAATTTTACTCTGAATATTTCATCATTTCTAAAAGGTTCATTATTTGTATTTACTCAACCCCCCAAAAGGTTATGTTGCGACACAAGGTCGGTTTAATGTGGGGAGCCCGAGCGCGTATACCCGGGCTAGGAACAAAAATTTCCGAGCAAGTTCATTATTTACACAACTCTCATTGATTATAGATGGCTTTACTCCTCCAAGTATTTGCCCGTTAATAGAAAACGTTAGCTCTATCCCCTCCAAAAACTGCGCACTCAGAACACCGGTCTACCTGAGGCATATGCTAAAATAGACATTTTTCTGTGCCAAATACATGAGAGACATAGGTACAGATATTTACCCGGGCATTTATAATAATAAAAAATAAAGACGTATAGAATGTAAATATTTTTTTCCTAGAAAAGGAATATGCTAACAAAAACTCACAAATCCAGTACGCCATGTTGCAAAAAAAAATCTGTTTTACCCACATGTCAAGAAAGCATCTTCTTTCTGTGGCGTCTCTCCGAAAATTGTTCTCTGTACCAAATGGGTTTTACTGACTAGCTATGACGATATTACGGTCACATGACCGGACAAGCGCAGTGCATATCTGAGTAAAGGGAAAAAAAAGTTGACCAAACATTGATAGCTTAAAACTTTAATTTCACCGTATGCAGTTTGAATTTGCTCTTAACGAACCTTTGGACGACCAACATCAACTCGACCAACGCCTATGAAAGCTTCGAAGTCAAATAAAGCCTGATTTCCTTGATACATTTTAATAGTAGTATCTTCATAGATATCTAACTGATCAATTGGAAAACCAGCATTTTCTTAAGTTTTTAAATCAGTCCTTCTGTCGTTTCCTACTTTGGTTCTAAGATATAGACGACATGATGGGCATCTGGACGTGGTGTAATGGTTAGCAAGATTGTCTCGATAGAACTATTATGACTGATTAGTGAGTTCGATCCTCACTGGGTGTCCCATACTTTCGGCCTTATGCCACATCTAAGCTACTCTTGGAAAATTCCTGTAGACGACACGGCTGCGAAGCGCTCTTCGATACGCTATCTATTATGTATACACGTTTGAACATCTTTTTTTATGTGCTGTTTCACTTCAGGTTATGGGTGATTATAGCTCTCCGCAACTTCCTATCCTTTGCAACTCTTGGCAATGTTTGCTTTTCGTACAATCTTTTCCCCACTTTGATCTGTTATCCATTTACACAAGCTTGTTAGGCAGGTTACTTGCTATTCTTGCCTTCAATATGTCATGTGAGTTTCAAATTCTCCAAGCCATCTTTCCTCGTTAGGTGTCCCAGAAACTTAAATTATCCATTTCTGATTCTAAGTGTCTTTTTTGTTTCTAGTTCCCTTAATATATCCTCGTTGCTTACATGCTCAGTCCATGGCATTCTCAGCATTTGTAGAACCACATTTCCGTTGCCTCAAATCTCTTCTTTATCAAAAAAATGTTCAGCATTTACTGCTTTATTGGAGATTTGACATTTCGTCATTCTTTGTATCTAACGAAACTTTCCTGTCTATCTTTCTGAGACGAGATATTGAAACTATTTACACTATTTACATTGACCTATTGTAACTATTTACCTTGTTCAGTAAAGATGAGGACAATAGCCATCATCTTTGTCATATTCACGGCGTTTCGGTCATTATAGGCTCCGACTTTCTTGGGTCCAGTGGCTAAAAGCTTTGGTTGAATTAATCCAGTGACTTTATCCAAAGAATTATGAGTTCAATACCTGCTCACAGCAGAATTAAAGAAAAACTTGGAGAACTGAGTTACTAAAGGGAAATAACTGAAACTGAGATATCCAAAAAAGGCATGGCACGTGGAACTAGAACAACCTACCTCGATGGACTAAAAAGATTTGGTTCAAAATTCCAGCGTATATCATCTGAAGAAGGCCAGAGCGTACAACGGCCGAAACTTTATGAATATGGGGACAATAGTCCGAACAATGTAAATAGTAACTTTTCTATTTCTTAATAATTTGCTTAGATTTTGAAAGACCTCTTTCGTTATTTCAATGTACCGTTGGCATCAAATTTTTCGTCTTGCCAGATAAGAAAATTTCAATACTTGCCTGCTTTTGACCTCGCTAAATTGTTGGCTTCAAGTTTCCACTACCTGCTCCAGAAATTGAACTCACAATTATTATGTTATCGAATTATCAGATCAACGTATTAATCTACTACCCCCGTGGGACCATATATGAATCAAATTTAAGTTGGTACCTCCACGAGATCGCTAAAAAAAAGAGCATAGCATGATGAAAAAGACGCCAAACTTGACGAAAACAAAATTTTATCGTCTAAATGTTTGTTATTATTAAGATCAAAGTATTTTGGGGGTATTTTTTTACATTTTTTTAATCATTCCTAGCACGTCCGAAATTTTCGTTAAAAATCTTGTTTTTGAGTCATCAATATTGGCAGATAATCGATCATGGCAACCATTTTTTCCATTTTATAAAAAAAAAGAAAGTCTCAGTTTGAAATTCTTTTAAAAATCAATTCTCATTTTTTCAAAATTTATTTTAAGAAAATCAGAAATTATAATGTGTATTTAAAACATTTTGAACCAAAGTTAACTTAGCTTCTGCGCCGAAAAGATGTAATTTGAAAATAAAACAAAGCAGGTCATAAACTTTCGCGTCACTTGACAGGTGATGAATGATATATTGA